TTAGATGCTATGGTTAGAATTAAAAGTCAATCAGCTCTTTGTTCAAACATATGCTCCAACAGCAAAGTGGAACAGAGCCAAGTAATAAGCACAGGAAAAGATTGCTATCATGGTAGAAAAGGGATGATAGTCTTGCCTATATTTTGTTTTCTTCAAATCCAGAATATTCTAGACAGTAAACAGTAATGCCTTAAAGTGACTGAATTTTTCTGAGTAGAAAAAAAGAAAGCACAGTTAAATTCCTAGCAAATGTTTTCTATCTCCTGCCAGCACCTTCATTCCTTGATAACTACCCTTTCATAGCTATCACAATTACTGTGACTTTTAACAGTCTACACTATAACAACATGTAACATTCTCTACAGGTCATTAGATATGAAGAGTTATGACACCATAGGGCTTCAGAATTTCCTTCATTCCTATTCCTGGTTTTCCACTAATGGAATGGGTGTAAATGTACATGTATGTGTGTGTGTGTTGTGAGTGTGTTTGGGGGAGAGGTTGTCAAGTCCTTAGGAAATGCTTAGCAGTAAGGGCTCAACTCCAATCCCATATACTTTTCCAGACGCCAAGTAACGGACACAGCTGCACCACACATAACTTAACTGCCAGGAACCATGGCCCTAATCTGGTTTTATCCCAGGGTGAGCTTGGTTAAGTTTTGTAGAAGATAAAAATGCTGTGTTCTAATAGAAGTATTATGTGACATTAGTGAAATGTAACCTTGTTAGCAACAAATGTTATATGAACAGGTTAGAAAAACAATTCTGCATATCTCTTTAACAATTAGAATATTATCTTAGGCAAAGCTGCATTGTTTACCTTTTCTATATTTACACATTTTTATAGTAGCATGAAAACAAAACTAAATTATTTCAGTCCATTTCTTATTTGGGCAAGTATTATTTTATGGTATTTTTGTGAAACTTTCCTAGCATAAAATCTACCTCTAAAGTAAGCATTTTAAAGAGGCAATGTGACTAAATTACTGAGCAGAAAATCACCACTGGATTTTCTAAATAATAACTCCTTATCCTTTTAGTCTCATATCTTTCAGGCTGAGTTATCAAAGATCAAAACAGATAAATGACAATCCATTGCTATAAGTTTCTAAAATATGCTATCTTTTATTTTGTCTCAAGACACTTTTGAAAATGAATATATAACAAAGAATTTTTCTAACACTGCTTACTGATGCAACTGGAAATACATTCTAGCTACCCTTTCTACTTTTTTTTTTTTATGCTATCTAGCCATTGATTTCTTTTTTGTTGTTCTTGTTTTGTTATTGTTGTTGTTTTCTTAGCCCTGAATTACCTGGAACTTGCTATGTAAACCAAGCTGGCCCAGAACTCACAGAGGTCTATCTGCCTCTATGTCCCCGCCCGCTGGGATCAACTGGGAATTTCGGCATGGGACATCACTCCTGGCTAACCCTTAATTTCTCTATCAGATTTCCCCAACTGAAATTTAAAAGATAAGGCAGATTGGGAAAACATGCACACATGCATGCACACACACAAAATTTAATTCATATTCCATTACAAAAACATTAATGAGTTTTCTTTCAATGAAGTAATTCACCACAGAACAAAAATAAATGTATATGTAAATGTACATATAAACAGTATATAGTAAGCTCTTACTTTTGAGATGATACTATAAAGTTGTTTTTAGAAAGCTACACATCTCTATAAAACAAGTGTTATTTATAGGATAAAAAATGGCATTCTAATTTTATACTGTTTTACAACCTATAGATGGATAATTTATTGTCAACACTTTCCATTTTAAAAGTTGGAAAACACTTTCAAAACTGGATATCAATCTAAAAACACACACATACAATTCTGAAAGACAGGAGGTTTCCCTTGTCAAGATTATATACAAAAGCATAATAATAAAATGATTTGTGTGGAGGCTACATAATTAATATATAAATGAAAAACTCTACTAAGCTTTTAGTTATGGCACTTCAACATTATCAATGATTTTCCAACCACTAGATTTACTTGTAATCACAGCACCAACTAGCATCTATTAGCAAAATATATACTAAATAATAACAAAAACTTAATTCATCCTGTATTTATAAAGTCTGTATTTATTTACCTGATAAACTTCTCCCCAAACACTCGTTAAGTGAATATTCCTAGTATCCTCAAAATGCACTCAGAGATTTTCAGACCTGAAAATCTGAACCTCCTCAATCAGGTTTTGCAATTGAGCCCTGAATCTTAGCATGCCTTAACCCAAATTTAAATTATTCTGAGATATCCCAAATAAATGATAAGGGCAGATGAATATCAATTAGCTCTCTTAATCTAGTTATTTCTCTCTAGAAAACCTAAATAGTTTCATCAACTTTCTGCGGTGCTGGTAAATAGACAAGTCACTACTATTAAAGGTTTCACTTCTACCTGCCTAACAGGGCATGGCAGCTGCTGTCAAACCAATCTTACGTACTAGTCAACACATTTTCTACCCATAAAAAGTCACCAGAGAACTAAAGCCAGAGCAGATGTCCAGTCTTCAGTGTGGTAACAGGCCCTCTGAAGGTCAAGGCCAAAAATATTTCCTGAGCCAAAAAGGAATTCCTAGCACTAAAGGCCATTCTTACAGGCCTTTTCTAGAAACATGAGATTTGGTTTACAATAGTTGTAAATTGGACAGATGAAAACAAGCTATATAATACATGAACTCATTACTTCGGGCAGAGAGCAGTGCTCATGAAAATGAGCCATAACCAGCAGCACATTTCACAGAAAATAGGGAAACTATAGAAAATGCTACTGAAATCAACCAGTTCTGAAGGTTGCAATGACAAGACTAAATTCATTTCCTTTACAAACTTTAGGTCACCCAATGACAGTATTTTAAAAAAGCCAGGGGTCCAAAGTTACTGAAACTGTTCTTTATTATATACCCATACATACCTCTTTATGCAGGGACAGACAAAAGAGCATGTAAGTGAGAAATTTACTAAAAGAGGATCAGTGTATAACAAATGACAATATTAAGCTTGATAAATCCTTCAATCACAAATTCTAAGAGGACAATATAGTCTGTAAGAGAATATCTGTAGAATTACATGTGTGTGTTTTGCACTCAAAACAACCAAATACAAAAATAGTTTCCATTATGTACTATTATATTTGAAGACACTAGAAAATTATACAGCAAACTTTCAGAAGTTTTGAAATACCTAGTCCACCTTAAAATTTGTAAAGCACCTTAAATTAGCAGTATCCAAGGTATTTTTTAATGTTATATACTGTAGTTCCTATTTTCTTTGTTAAAGGAGGACAGAGAAGATTACATTAACTAAAATGATATATTGCCAAGCGTTCTCCAGCATCAACTGTGAAAAACTGGTAGATAGAAAAGAATTAGAAACCCAACTTCCTATATGAAAGTTGAACCTTTGCTTCATTATTTTGTTCTCTAGGATTTTTCCACTGTCCTCCCAAATGAGACAATTTGCAAACACACCTAAAGGAGAATGTTCTGTAGGAGGAGAAAAGATTTTACCTTTAAGGTGTGAGAGTGTACTTTAATTCTGTAGGGGAAGGTTCAGCAAATCAACCAGCATTAAACATGACCAAATGAATGACTCATTCTTGTGTAGACATTATTGTCAATTGGGTGAAGTTTCATATTTAAAATCCTACAAAAAACAAGGAGGCTCCAAGAATTCTGCCTAGAAGAAAAAAAGCCTTGGAATACTGATTTTCAAAGACCTAATACCTATTTTAAAATTATTTTACATTCAAGTACTAGACGGTCTCTACGGTGCCTTTCAGTTCAAATCTTCCTTAATTCTCTGGTTAAGTTTACCAGACTATTCTTAGAGCCTTGGTAATTACAAATAGAACACAGATGAAAAAAATAAACTTTGGAGTTAACACTGTTATCATTACGCCTAATCAAACACTGCAGACAGAAAGAGGACAGTAAAGCATTCTGAATTAGGGAAAAGGAGAACATAATGAGTAGGTCACAGTTCCAGGAATGTGTTGAAGTATGTTAAAGTACACAACGAAGTCTGGCCTGAGAGTAGAGGGAGTGGGCGTCCCCTCCCCCAGTTCGTTAAGTGGCAAGCAACCCACCCAAACAGTAATACACTTCTCTCCTGCTAATCTGATTTTCTACCTACCTGAAGTAACCAACCACAGTGGAAACACATGCCAACTAGAAAGTGGATCCTTTAATTTCAGTATGCCCTACCTTTTATTAGCAGTTTTTCTACATTACATCCTAAATGGGGAATCCATGGATGGAACACCATAAAATGGCAAGACATCTCACCGCTATATGGTGACTCCAGCACTTCTAAGCCCAGACAAAAGCCATGGAGTGAAGGGCTGTGGCTGTTGGCTGGACGCAGGCTGCTCTGACTTTCACCCCATGACACCTTAAGATAAAAGCAGCGCTCGGACCACTGATATGCAGTGGGTCTCTGAATTAAATTAAAAAAAAATAATAATCAATATTCCCAGCTGGTAAAAAGAAGCCCGGTCGTGCTGCGGAGTGCTTCAGGCAGCGGGAGGCAGAAGGGGTGGCGATGCGGGGCAGCGCCAGCCGGCCTCCGGCAAGTTTCCTTCCCTGCGGGGCACTAGGTCCCGCTGCCAGCCCCGCGGCCCCACCCCGCCCCGGTAGGGAAAGGCAGCGAGCCCCTCGCTGAAGGACGGGCGGACAGCTCCCGGCAGGAGCGGGCCGCCCGCCGCCTCCCCCCGGGACCAACGCAGCTGCCAACTTTGCCGCCCTCCCCGCCCCCACCCCACCTCCGCGCGAGCATCCCAAACTTTGCCGCGACCTCAACCCGGCAGCTCGGGGCTGGCCCCGGGGGCGCTGACCGTCACGCCCGCCCCGGCGCCCCGGCCCCTCGGCCGCCCCCGGCCCGCCGTGCAAACCCTCGGCGGAGACGCCCGCGGCCCGACCCCCGCGCGCCGCGGACCCGCCGGGAGCCCGGGAGTCCTAGACTCGGGCTAACCACTCACCATTGGTGAAGGGCTCCATCTTCGCCCCCCGCCGCGGGGGCCTCTCGAGCCGCGCGCCCCGAGCCTCCTACTCCCAGAGCTGAAGCGGCCCTGCCGACTGAGCATGCCCAGCGAGGCCTCCGAAGGCTGCCCGGGAGGTGCGGCGAGGGGCGGCGCCGGTCCGCCGCGCGGCTACAACACCTTCGTTCCGGGTTTTCGCAACCGCTGTGCACGGCTCGGCCCGGGGCCCACACCGCCGCGGGAGAGGCGGGGGAGGGGCCTGCGGGCTGGGCGGGGCCTCTGCAAGCCCCGCCCCCAGAGGCCCCGCCCCCGGCGTCGCCGCGCTGCCCTTGCCGCGGAGCTGTCCGGACGGTGGGTGCACCCAGTGGGTCTGGTCGTGTTTCGGGCGCGGCCACCCCTAACCCTGAGGCCGGAAGCGCGGCCGGTGATGGCGGAGGGGTTGTCGGATCCGCGATCCGAGTGCGGAGCCGGGCCCGGGGAGCGGCGGTGTCTGCGGTGCGGTAGCCCGGGACGGTGCTCTTCCCGGCCGCAGGAGCGAGCCCTGCGGCGCTGCTCGGCCGCACTTCCTTCCAGAAGCAGAACGCCCTGCGGCTGCCGCCGCCAAACGGGGACAGAGGGAGGGAGGGAGGGGGAAGGGAGGGCCCCGGCCGGTCCCTGCTGTTTGCTCCGGGCCGGGTTTAGGACGGAGGGAAGATCACAAAACCCGGCGCGGGGTAGAGGAGCGCGGAGCGCGCGCAGAGCCTGTAGGTAGAGGTCTGCCAGCCGAGCCCCGTCCTAACGCGACCCCTGCACACGGCGGGGGGCGCGGGGCCTGGGCGGAGGGAGCCAGGTTTCCCTCTCCCCCGGCACTCACGCCGTTGCCTCGGGCCCCACGGTTTCCGGTGCCAAAGCGGAGCAGCCTCCAGCTGGGGAGACCCCTAGAGACCGCGCGGCCCGGGAGCTGCTGGAAAGGCTCTCAAGGGCGCCCGCTCTCCCCTTTCCGACTGCGGGGCGCCAGCACCCCGCGGTGAGCCCCCACCCCGCCCCCGCCTCGTCCCTCCCGGCGACCTGGCTGGGCCTCGGCCTCGGCGCTAGCCAACTGTCACACACTCCTCCCAGGCTGCCAACCCCTGCAAACAAATCTAGGCTTGCGCAAATAATCCTGGGCGAAAGGGAGGGGAGGGGGGAGCGGCGATACTGTTCGGCCGATAAGGAAATTTGAATAACGTTCAAAGAAGTAAAAACCGAACTGCAGTGTTTTTAAGATGTCAATTGTGTTATGCCCCCTACTCCCCACTCCTGATTTGCAAAGTCCTGTGAATACCAACAGTACTTAGAGTAAACTCCTTACCTAACTCTGGGGCCTCATTAACATTCTCATCCTTTCCTGGCCCCTGAGGCCTTCATAAGGTTCCTAAAAGTTGCCAAGTTTCATTCAGCATTGTTAACCGTTCCTTTATAAAAGTTTTTTTTTGTTGTTGTTTTTGTTTTTGCAAAGCTGTTCCACAGCTTGTTTTGTTTGCTTACTTCTTCCTGTCTTTTTCTTTGCTCAAATGTCACCCCTGTAGAGAATCCTAAAATAGGACCACACACCTAAAATAGCAACAACCACGTCGGTTCTATAAAGATTTCGCCTGCCGTTCTCTCCAGAACACTCTTAGCTGTCGAAAAGCTTATTGTTTATCAACCTTCCTCTGAAGAATGAAGGTTCCGTGATGCAGCTGTGCCTTCGTGGTTCGAAATCGTTACACAATATTTTAAATAAATACAATATAGTGTTTAGAGTCCTGACTTCCTGCCCATATTGGAACCTTTTCAGTGAATGTCTTTACATTGAATGTCCCCGATGGGTTTGTTTGTGGTCAATACAAAGAAAATGTTCACCACGTCATAGCTCAGCGATGCTGCTCTTTTCACTGTAGGAAAGATAGGCTGAGCCCTTAGACTGGTCGCCGTTTCAGAGCAATTAAGAACCAAAAGTAGAAAATGAGTCATAAGAACTCTTGGATTAATGGATTTTGTTCAAATGAGCCTGGTTCACATTGGTATTGCTTAGATGAGAAACGCCTTTCTACTAGGCCATTTTATGCTCCTTTGGGTTTATTTCCATTGCCAGAGCACTTAGTTCCAGAGATATTTAAAACTCCGCAATGTGTTAAATCACCTCACCTCACCTGTCAGCTAAACTCCATCTGCTTTTAAGTGTGAATCACATTATCTTGGGTTTTGTTTTGAAGTCTTCGACTCTGAAGACTTTATGGTACAAAGTGCATTCACAAATTTGAAGGAATCAAAAGGTGTTTTGACAAGGAGGCTATTTCTTTGCCAGCCTCTTGCATCTCATCTCTGCTATCCACAAATACAAGCAAAGACATTGAGGGCCATTTATTTAGTCTTGGGACTCTTTTAGGGGGAGGCAAACAGTAAATATAACCAACATAACTCAGAATCCCACCTAGAACTATAGGAAAAATAGTGAATTTTGTTCTGTCAGATTTGTTTTATATTTGCCTTTGTAAAGCCTTTTTGAGGGGAAACGGTCACAGAGGTTTTGTTCTTGCAATCTATTATGTTCCTATCGTTAACATTTTCTTTCTTCCACACGGATCTTCCTCTTTTTTAAGGGTCTAACAGTTGAGGTTATTACAAAGTTACTTTATATTACCAGAGAAGGCAGGATGTCATCTTACCATTTTCAGAGTCATCACTGCATATTTCTTAACCTTTAAATCATAACAGAACAAATATTAATATCGTGAGATGAAAAATGGTAGCACCCTGGATAACATTTGTTTGTAAAGAAACAAACAAACAAAAATGGGAGCATAAGTTAGTACAGCCATTATGGAAAATAGTAGCGAGCCATGGGATACTATAAATAGATCTGTGCTAGGATGCTAGGAAATTCTATCTGTTTTCAAAGACATGTCTGAACACCCATGGTTTTTTTTTTTTTTTTTTTTTACTGCATTATCAGCTAAGACAAGGAATCAAAATGGATACCCAGCAACAGTTGAATGTGTATGTATACAGTGACTATCCCTCAGCCGTAAAAAGAAATATTTTACGACCGATAGCAAAATGGCTAGTATTTACAGACGTTATGATAATTTGTTAGAAACAGAAGACCAAACAAACAAACAAAAAAAAAAAACACCATATATTTTCTTATATATGTGTTTGCTTAAAAAATCGTCAACCTAAAGAATAGTAGTGACTACAGAGATCAGGAATTTGAAAGGTGGAGACTGGGAAGTCGGCACTGTAGGACAGAAGCATTGAGTTCTGAAGCAGAGAGGGGTGACTGTAACTGACAATAACTCGTTACAGTTGGCATGAATAAGTAGAAGTACGCAAAGTCTCCAAACACAGAGTAATAAGGAGACAGACACATTTGGTTGGTGCATATATGCATATGTTGAAATACTATACTATCTCAAAAATGTTCTTATGTTTAGAACATATGTTTTTACGTATGTTCTAAATTGAAGGAGACATAATTTTAATTACTCTGTTTGATCATTATTCACTGTGCACATGTATGAAATCGTCACACTGTACTCCATAACCTTAACCCTGACCCTGGGTCACAATTCCTTTGCCAAATCTCTATCTCCAAAAATATTTATGTTACAATTCATAACAGTAGAAAAATTACAGTTATAAAGTAGGGTCACCACACCGTGAGGAAGGGTCATGTTAAAGGGTCATAGCATAGGAAAGTTGAGGGCCACTGCCATAAATACAGAATTTTTAAGGTTGTGACTCTGCAAAATGGCTTGACAGGTAAAGGTCCTTGCCACCAAGCCCTGGAACCCACATAGTAGATGGAGAAAGCCAGGACCAGGAAGTTTTTCTCTGTTCTCCACATGTATGCCATGTGATGCATGGAACATACTTATGCAGGTACAAAAATTAACACTTTTAAAACCCACAACATTTCAGTTTTCCAGCTGAAATTAGATTTATCCATTTAAATAAACTATTCCAATTTAAAACAAAAAATAATCAACAAGCTGGGTTATGATACACATAGTCATTTTTAAAAAGATCAAAACAGAATGCCCGATCTGCTATTTATCACCTAATTTATACCTCACATTAAGTATGTGAGAGATGAGAGTAGGTAGATGATCTACTCATACTCCTGGGAAAGGCAGAGACTGGAATTAGAGCCATCTGTGTTCTAAGCCAGAGCACTGGAGATTGCTGCACTTTACCGATACACACAAGGGAGTTAGTGTCAATGACTGCAGTCTGTAAGAGTGAGTGTGTATATATATATATGACAATTAATTTATATTCCAAGTCAAACTTTTACACACTTGAAAGTGTTATTTGTTACACGGTATTGAACAAATGAAAGATGCTGCTTGCTGACCAAAAGAGAATGAGCATTGTGGGATTTCGCATCACTCTAAGGTCAGCATCTCACTGCTCCGTAACTCATTTGATGCACAAAAAAAAAAAAAAACAACAAAAAAACTACATTGACCGGTGATGTTCAAAGTTATATAAAATTTTAAAATATTTATAAAAGCAGAATAATCAATATAACTTGTAGAGCTCTGATAATAGCAAGAAGATTCATCCAAATTTAAAAAGGGTTTTATCAGGAAGAAATAGCTACCTACCAGTTCAGCTCCTTTGGACTACAAAATCTGAAGTCCCTGAACCAAAATGATGATAAATTTTAAAATTTAAAAATAATCTGTCATTACACAGAAGGATCCAAAGACAGGGTGCTCCTTAGCCACAGCACCACAGCCTCATCAGGAGACCAGATGCTCATTTCTGCCCTCTCCTCAGTGATTGATGTTCTGAAAGTCTGTCATGTGGTCCAAAAGGCAGAAGCTGCAAGAGGGTAGGCAGAAGGGACTTTCTCTTTCATGTCTCCTTCTTGAAAACAAGAAAACTTTCCTTAGAAAACCCTCAGAATTGCTGTCTCATTTCTGAAAACTGTAATTTGTGCATTTCTAAAGAAACCACTGGGAATGAAAAAGTTTCTTAGACAACAGTCTTAAAAGTCTGAGGTTAGAGCTTGCCTTCTCTGTTTCATGTAAGGGAAGGGTGAGGTTATTTGAATACAAATTTAAAATCTGTATCCAATAAAGGTAGATATATTTTAATACTATTTTGATAATTTTGTGTCCAATGATACTTGTACAGGAAAATTATGATCTAGCCCCTCACATGCAATGTAAATTTCCATATAATAATATAATATAATATACATGTGATATAATTAAGATTACAAACCAAGAAATACT